TGGCCGTGGCACGGCGCTTCTCGGCTCCCTTCACCAGATGGTGCTGCGCCGGAGAAAGGGAATAAAGTGGCGGCGGCTGAGAGACGGGAGCTCGGCTTCTGCAGAGCAGGCCCTCTTCAGCGACGGGGAGCAAACGAACCTGCCCACAAACAGCCCGCCTTGGGCTGGGCCGTCGCGAGCACTGGCAGCACTAGCTCCAGGAAACCCAAGGAAGGAGCTGGCGGGACTTGCGCTGCCTTTCTCGCATCGCTCGGCACTGCTCGGCCTCCTCGTCTTCACCAGGAATGACCGTGCCATCACACAACCCCCCGCAAACACTTTCTACCCGCCATGGGCCAGCGTAACTGCAAGGATTGCCATTGCTCCAGCAATGTTACAGCTTTTCGTCCCTTGCAGGCAGTTTCAGGACCTCCCTTCAGTCTGCACGAAAAGTTTTATCAGGCAGAAAACAGTCACAGCAGAGTTAATCATAAAAGCACGGAGCAAACTGTACGTGGGGCTTCACAAATTACAAGACGTGAGGGATATGTTCAGACTTCAAAGTGTCAAATGCTTCTCCACAGCTTGGAGAAACCCATCACTGCACACCATGAAACGGAGTTCAGTGCGCTGACACTTCATTAGCTGAAGGTTAATTACAGAAGCCCTTCTGTTACTCAGCAGAACAACCACCTACTCACCTGGTTGAATTTCCCTTCTGGGACTTCGCAGGGTGCAGAGTTCAGCCTCCCCCTGAACCACCCCCTCTACAGCCCTGTTCCTCTGCAAGACAACACAACACGCTGCAGACCTTCGCCCCATCTTCTGAGGGACTCTGAGGAGCTCTTTGGCCACACTTGTTGAACTACGCTTCTAAACTAAGTAACATTTACCCCGAAGGGGCAGCAGCTGAACGTTGCTTTTAGCACCTTTTTGTGTGTGCAGCCCTCCCGGATACCCCCGTGCTGTTGAACTGCAGCAGACCTTTATGCTTTCCCTGCACTTCGTTCTAACCTTTGTGGCGTGGGTGCTGGACGCTTGCGAACAGAGACTATTCTGTGTAACGAGGGCTGGGTAACTGCCCGGCACGCAGTACCTCAGCGCTCCCTCCGTGAAATCCTCTGTGTTTGCTCCACAGCCCTGAGCACCTCCGTCTTCCTTGACAGAGGGGTAAAGGAACATCTTCAGCCCCACTATCAGTCTCATCAGATCAATCAGTCCGCAGCTCTCACATTCATATCATGCTTTTTTGATAAAGCGGAAACAAACTGCACATAATTACAGCAAGAAATCTAGTTTAAATCAATAACTGGCTTAGTTTAGCTGGTAAACAAGAACCTATGTAATGTAACGTCTTTGCTCGTTACCTGAGTCCAATTTAAGGTACTGCAGAGCCTCGTTACACCAAACAATCCATTAACTAAGCATTAACCGCTGCCTTTGCCACAGCCGCATCTGAAAGAACGCTTGCAGTTAGAGGTACACATCTGAGCTATGGTGCCTTTCGTTCTGCTTTGCTGCAAAGCAAACACTTGAAACACTTTTTTCAGTGCAAAATCTCAACGGAGCACCAGAAGAATACTGACTACATTACAAAATAAGGACTTGCTGCTTTCGCCAACTGATAAGATAATAAAATCCCAAAGTGTCCGACTAACAAGTGTCCCCCCTGTTATTTAAATACCTTTCTTATAGAGACTTAACATTCACAAGACCAGGACAGCAGCCGCGCTGGAGCAACGTTCTGGTTTAGAACCAATACGGCATCGGCAGCAGTAACCAACAGAAGAAAAGGCACAATAAAACTGATGCATACGGGTACAAGGTAATCTTGGCCTAGTGCATGGGAAGCGGTCCAAAGCAGAGCCTGAGGCTTCCTTTCCAATAATTCCCTGTGTTAACATTATTCCCTACAATGCCAAGCATTGCTACAGGCTCAGCCTCTGCCCATCCAGGTCTAAACACCTGCTGTTCAGAAAAGCACTTCCTTTTATCCATTTTGAATTCCCCATTTTTGAATGTGACATGCTCTTATTCTCACATGGAGAGGAAGAAAAGATTCTGCACTTCCTTCCCTAGGCCACAGGTTATCTGAGATGCGTTTGTATTTCTGGTTCCCTGGCTTATTTTCTAAAGATAATGCAACAACTGGAACTCTAACCCACCCCTCCAACCAGTGCCACTCTTCTGTAAGCTTAATTCCACCCAAGGCTTGTTCAAGTACAGACAGCTTTACCCCTCTGTCTCCACCTGCATTACTGTTCCCTTTCCTACTCCCCTCCTCCCTCCAGCCCAAGTGGCAGAGGGACGGTGCAATGCTGCACACAGCTAAGGACGTAACCCTCTCTCTGCTGCGCCTGGTAGCACAGGGTGGCTGCCAGGACCGGCTCCCCACCTGCACCAAGCTTTGGTGGACACGCGGGTGCACCTGCTAAAGCCCAAACATCTCGGCACCTTACGAGAGCCTCAGGACAGCCCAGTCCGTGTTGCAGACGGTTTGTACCTGGCAAGTCAGGAGAGATCTGCTCAGTGATACAGGGAGCTGTTGCGGGGAGGAGCGGTGTTTGCAGTCATTTTAACTCCTCCCAAACACAGCAAACTTGTTATTTTGTGGCTTCAGAGATGCTGATTTTGAATGACGGCAACAGTGAGAAGAAAACCCAGCAAAGAGAACTGAGCAGCCCAAGCTCTTGCAGCAATTATGCTGCTTACCCTGCTAAAACAGCAGTCACACTCCCTCACCCAGCAGCAGCAGCTATTAGCTCTGTAAACATTTCAGACAATTTCCTCTGAACTGCTAGCGCTGTCCTAGCCCTAAATTAAGCAGCAGCACCGAGCGCAGCTTCAGCCCCCAAGCTCCCACAAACCCAGGGTTACCACCAGCCGCCGCAGTACGGCAGAGCTGTGCGGCAGCAACGCCGCCTGCACCGCAGCCAAGCGCCTGTCACCAGCCGGCCACGGGCGGCCTCGTGCCGGTGTTGAAGGAGAGCTCTGTGGTCACAGGGCTTTGGGGTCTGTAAGGGGTTCTCTGTTCCCACCTCAAAGGGTCCAAAAGCGCGCCTGTAAAGCCTCAGCACGCAGAACTGCAGAGCTCTGCAGGTCTCTCCTCATTGAAAACACACCCCTAACATTTGCAAGTGGATTTTCTTAAGAGATCTGACCTTGCAGGCTGTGGCTGCTACCAGATGGAGCTGTCCTAGAAACAGAACAAGGCAGTCTTCAAAGGGGTGGAGGAAACACTGCAATTTGCTAAAACAACAGGACTTTGGTGAAGGAACTGAGGTGGTGTAAGCCAGTGGACGAGACAGCGAACATTTCCCTCTCAGCAGATACAACGCTTGGCAACGCCTAGGTAGGGTATCCCTGAACGAGGACATGGTATTGAAATTCTGAGTCTTGCCATGCTTATGATGGAAATCCAGTCCTTGGCAGAGAAGTAAGCAGACCTGCAGTCACTTAACAGAGATGAATGTAGTCCTTTACTGGAGCTAGATAATCCTCCCAGGAACACGCCCGTAAGGGAGGCCATCACACATTACAGACCTGCCTTTTCTCAGCTGGTGAGACAGGGAGATGCTACAGGGCTTGAAAGGGGAGGGGAGAGATCCAGCAGATCCAGGGGCCAAGAGCAGCATGAGAAACTGAGGACAAGGACCGAGGGATCAGAGTGAGACAACGGGACCTTTCTAGAAAAAACTGGGGCGACCATTGCCACAGATCACACATGAAGGACCTGCTGCTTCTGTTTGGTGGGTCCTAGTGGGTACAGAAAACAAAACAGTGACTAAGGGACAGGTTCTTCTCTGCCTCAGGCATTGCAGGCAAGTTTTTTTGCACCTTTGCATTCCTGAAAGGTAGGGAAATGTCCTGAATGAGGCTTGTTCAAAGCAATCGTTACATGCAGTATGTTTCTTCAAGAGGTTATAAATAAACCCTTCACTGGAGGTAAGGAGCTTTAGGCACTACTGAGAAGGCAAACCTATTAACAGAGATTGGAATAGCGCTGTTCTCTCTCCCTTCTCAGACTGCAGCACTGCTGCAGTTCAAAGCTTCCCAGTTAAGACTCATTTAGTCGCATTAGAGCTGTGCGGGCAGCTAGGTAGGGGGTTATAAAAGACAAATCCCTAACACGTGTAATTGGGGACAACGTCAAACGCACCCCATCTGCAAGGTGGGCAAACAGGTCTCTCAACCAAACCGCCAAAGAGGAGGACAGCTTCCACAGTTGTTGGCCACGAGTTGTAAGAATGTCTTGACAGGTTCAGAGGCTACGTGTCCACTGTGATCGCAAGAGGGAAAGACGAGAGCCAGGCAGGAATGACACCCTGCTCGGGGCTAAGGGAGAGCTCACTAAAGAATCCGTGTTACATAGCAGTCAGAAAAATGCAATAAGCGGGTGTGATAGGAATAGCAAAGCCTCTGCATTACGGTTTGAGAATCTTGGGGTTGATGACTGTCTTGCCCACTGACGAGCGCTAACTTCCCCATGGCAACCGCAGCTGCTCGTTCTGCAGAGAAACAGAAGTATAAAATAACCAAGCAGCCTCTAACAGCCAGTGCTTTCGTCCCACGTGAGAAATATCAGATCAGGTGCTTTGTCTGTGCCACATCTCCCCTGGACCTGCTACGGTCAGCCTTCACTCACATGCTGCTGCCTGCCTCATTCTCCGCTCTCCTGAGAACAGTCCTCAGCTACACCTTCATGGTTAACTCTGGTCTGTGAGGAAAGTTCCAAGAAAACATCAAAACTGAGCCTCAGCCTTCCACCCTGAACAAGAGCAATCAAAGTGCAGAGAGACCAGCTCCACCCTCCCACTGAGGCACACCTGCGCTGATCACGCCCTCCTGCTAAGCATTTTGTCACCAGTCGGGAACAACCAAAACCAAGGCTGCAGAAAGGACAGGTAAGTGCTACGGTACTGCCACAATCTACAGTCCCACCTGGACGTTAGGCAGAGCCTCAGCATCAGCTGGACTTAGCCTGTCCTGGAGCCCAGAGACAATCAGCAATGGGAGGTTCTTCTCACCACCCCAGCATCTCCCAGTGACCGAGGTGAGAGGGAAGGTCCGCGAACTACCATGTAACACCTCAGGCTGAAGGAGGTGAGGGAAATCCTCCCCAAAGGTCAAGATGAAACCAGACTCCCAATGTTTCCACTAGCGAGAAATGCACAACAACCTAGGAAGCGCACCAGACAAGGAACTGGGAGAAAAGCTACTGGTGGTTCCTAGTAGGGAAGGAAGGAGCAGCAAATATTCCTACATGGTGGGGACAAGTGAGGAGCAGATAAATTGGTGGTTTCTCATCAAATCCTGAGGTTAGAGCCTCAGGAACCAGTGTCCAGCTGAGGACACAACACTTCTTAGGCAGGCCTGGGAATCCACGGGATTGTGCTGCCACTCAGCTTCCACTGACCCTTCACAGGACAAAGGCTAGTGACAAGAGCAGCAGGGAATAACACTCTCCTGTTACCAAAGGGAGGTACCTGGATAGTGATGGTTCCCTTTCCACTGTCTGTCTGCAGGTGGATCTCCATCTCGGGCAAGGCCTTCCCTTCTGCCATCAGCCGATGACGCAGTTTCTCCAGCGCATCGCTGCCATTGGAGATCAGCTCCCGGATAAATACCTGGGGACGAGACACAACCCGACACTGCAGCCTGTCCTTGCCCACTGCACAGGACTCCCAGAGAGCTGGGAACCCATTGCCTCCTCACAAACTCATTCCCAGCTCACTAGAAAAAGAACTGCATTTCCCCATTATCTGCCAGGAGAACAGTGTGTCCAAACTCAGTGTTAAAGCTCTGAGGCCCACAGAGTCACCTGGCCGTACCTACAAATTGCTTTGAAAACACATTTTCAAGGTGTCTTAAGAAAACGTTATTCAAGAAAGCACGCCATGTGAACAGCACCGGACTTGCTGGGAAACTGAGCAGGTATTCTCCCAGCTCAACCCTTTTGGCTGTAGCCCCTGACAGACGGGGCTTTGCCAACGGAAAATCTACCAGCAACTAGTGGGTACCTTACCTCCTTTTCTGAGTACAAGGAACGGGCAACAATGTCCAGCAGTTTCTTTGTTTCAGCCTGAAACTCATGTTTAGAGGCTTCACCTAGAATAAAATCACAAACACACTTTTAAGGCACTTCCCCAGGGTCCTCTTGGGAAGGAAGGCAAAATTGCAGACTTACCATGTGCTTCAGCTTCCCAGGAGCGAAAGCCTGAAGCGGGATGGAGCACAGGTATCTGTGGGCTCCAACAAGGTGACAACAAAGGTGGTGTTTACACACCCCTGCGAGGCAGCACGCTTTGCAAGGAGACACTCGGCCTCTGCGACTCAGCTCCTGGCACACAAACCTCAAGGCAGTCAAACCCTGCAGTGCTGGTCACCATGTCTGGGCTGCAGAGCAATCAGTAGGGACAGGCAGTTCCTCTTGCTCCTAACACGTGGCTCCATGCAATCCCCAACCACTCTCTCCAGTGCCTCCCGTGGTTTATAGCCTGCCTTCCATACTCTTCCTTGACTCAGCCTTCAAGGGAACCACCTGCATGTGCCCTGCTCCAAGACCCTCTACAGCCAGGCAGCATTTCTCAAGCCCAAACAATACTCAGAGCCTGAAGCAGAAAAAGGCAGATTCTCAAATGTCTCTGTGGAGGCGGCGAGGGAGCGCGTACGTACAGCCACCTCTGCAGGTAGCCAGCTGTGCCCAGAAAGAGAATTTGCCTCAGAAAGAATAACACTACAAAACATCTCTGCTGATGGCCTTTTAAAAATAGCATTTCTGCTGCTAGAGTCACTAGAGAACCCTGAAGCAACCTGGGGGAAGCCATGGGTCACACATCACCTCTGCCATGCCTTGCTGGCGAGGACCTGCATTCCCCAGTGACGGGGCAAAGCTGGGGTGCGGACAGCGGCAGGAGCAGTGCATCAACCCCACTGGGGGCTTCACAGCCTGGCAGTCTCAGAAGTACCTGCCAGAAAAACCACAGGAGTGTGGAGTGAAGATGCTATTTCTGTGCTTGAATAACTCACGTGACTTTGCTTCAAAGCACCTCTCCCTGGAGATGTGCAGAGCAATTCATTCTAACCAAAAGGTTGACACCTGGATTCTCATTAGACTTCCACAATCCACAGCAATGACCTGGGGCAGGCACAGGTTGCTTTTGGGACAAAATGTCTCTTTTTAGGCAAATTCTAGTGCCTGTGGAGCCTCTACGTATGCACATGACCATTAGTTGCCTGGCTAAGCCCACAGATGCAACTTCTTTCAGCAGTCTTGATGGCCTCATTTCTCAGTAAAGGCCTCTCCGATCTACATGTTCCAGTTTTGGGGGGTTGACGGTGCAATGCAAACTCAAACTGTACTCTGCCAGCTTGGATGCGACAGCCAAGACCTGTACCTCCTCCAGAGGCAGAAACAGGACTGCCGAGGGCTCACCCTCACAGTCAGGGCACAGCCGCACCTAGACCTGTCCCAGGTCTGCATGTACCCCAAAAGTGCTCCCACAGGACACCTGTGCTCGTGCCCACCTTTCACGTTCTCCGTGTTGCTGATGATGGTGTGCAGGGGCTCTTCTTCCTTGTTCTCCACTGGCTGTGTGCTGTACGTCCGGACAGCAGAGATACCAGTGGCAGGAACGTTGTACTGGAGGCTCCAGTGACGGAGTATTTGTCTTTGGAGACATGCTGCTCCTTTTGCTAGAAGACACAATTGAAGATCTTTCAGTATAAACCACAAGTATCAGCAGCAACAGGAGCTCTCTTTAAAGGTCCCACGTAAGCAATCCTGTGGGGGGTTACACTGTCCAAGCAAGACTGAAGCTCCCTTGCCATCGAACACCCACCATTTCCCTCTGGCATTGCCCTCACAGCGTAAGAAGGGCAAGTTGCTACTTTAGACTGTCTCTTTGGAACTAAAATTCTAGCCAGAAGATGACAATTAGTAGCTTTCACAACAAATTAACCAGTGAGGACAAGGCAGCCTGCAGCTTTCATTGCTGTTACCTGGCCAAGCTGAAGCAAAGAGGGAACACTTCAACTCCCACATTACTGCCAGTGAAAATGTAAAGCCCTGGTGCAAGCAAGGCAGCCTGGGCCTCCAGGAGATGCCTCTGCTGCACACACAGCTTCTCAGGACACCGTGCTAACACTCACCACCAAACAGGCCTCTAGGTACCAAAATCTATTTCCTCCTGCTCATTTTCATCCCACCAACAGCAGCCAGCTCCTTTCCAACAAGCTCATCCCATATCCAACTCCAGCCCCGTCTGGCCCCTATCAGCCAGCTGAGCAGTTACTTTATGGCAATAAATACGTGGCCCTTGGCTGTCCGAGCACAGTTAACAGAGCACAGGGATTACATCCTCCGACAAAGCCAGCTCTGGGGTCAGCAGCACACGCAGCAACAAAGCAATCAGCGGGGGAAAGAAGAGGTCAGGAAATGGCACCAGCCCCGCTAAGGACTGGGATTCCCAATTCTCCTCCTTCCATTGTGCCCAGGTGAACTGAACAGTCTTCTCTCTGTTGGGGGATGAAACAAAGCCAAACCTGGCCACAAAAAGACCACTTGCAGCACGAGAGAGCTCTGTCCAAAGGCAGTGACTTGCTGTGATTTCTGAATTGTAGTGAGAATGGCCTGTGCTGGAGTAAGAGCGCGGAGGGTGCGGATCTGAACGTGCGGCTGCGCTGGGGGCAGGCGGTGGCTCGGCCTTCCCCAACCCTACAGTGAACATAAACGGACAGGGCTGTTTTGGGAGGCAGAGGGGTGACCAGGATGGCCTAGGCACAGCGGGGGGAATCTAGGCAAGCAGCAGAAGTGGCTGGAAGTGGTGACAAGGCTTTTCTTACGACTCACTGTGCTCACGGGCCGTTTTGTCAAGCAAGGAAAGGAGGCAAACCCTACAGCCTGGGCCTGCAAAAGGCACAGTTTCAAGGGGTACTTTCTTTAGGTGAATGGGTACGAAACCACCTGAAGACTGAGCTGAGAACCACTGGCATGGTGAGAGGCCCTGCACTGCACCTGCAGCCTCTCTGGAAATGGCTTCTTTGGCAGCCCACAGCCCTCCAGTCCAGGCAACCCACTGGGAGAGGCCTGGCTCCCTCCTGAACCTTCCTCCACTTTGTCACAGCCCTTTCATCAACATCCCTCGTCACCCTACAGCTCACCTTAGGAGGTCTCAAGCTCCTTTCACAAGTCCTCTGCAAACCTCCTCCCCACCTTAGCAGGCACTACAGCCAGTATGGTCATCGAGAACACAAGTCTTGCTGCCCCAGACCATCAGGCTGGGCTCTCACTCACTCCAGATCAGGTGAATGCGAACCCCTGAGCTTTAACAGTGCTTGTAGCTCCTACACCTCGTCCCCAAGAGCTGATGGACAAGGCTGTCAGTGCTCATTCTTCCTCCTCCTCACAGAAAGCTTTGAATCAAGATCCATTTCTCCAGCCAGAAGCTTGAATTACTCCCCAGTCATTCTGCCCTTAAAGAAAAGAGCCCACAAATAGTTCTTAATGCATCTGAACACCTCCCACACACATCACTGTTCGCTCTCTGCGTCACAAACAGTTCTGCCGCATTATCACAGGACACGTTCTTCATCTTTCATTCAACTGCCTTTCTTGGGCTCATCTGAGAAAGCAACAAGGAAACCAGCCCGGGGGACTGAAGCGGAAAGCAGCAGAGAACCCACCGTGGGGCTGTCCAGCCTGTCAAGCCTCAGAGAGGAAGGGCCTGAGTCAGCCCAGGGTTTACACATTTTATTTACGTATTTACACAGGGTTTATATATTTTATGCTCATTTTATGCTACATGGTGTAGGAAACTTTGAAAAATCTGCACTTGTATGTACGCACGCACACACATTTCCCAGTGAGCAGAAAAAGAGAGGGAATTTTGCTCCCTCCCTGATTCCGGAATCCAAACAAGAAGCTGATCAGCACCAGCTCTGTCATCAGGCCACTTCTGTCATCAGATCTTCAGGGAGCAGCCCTAGAGCCAACAAACAGGTCACCCCCCCAGCCCATAAACGCTATCTGACTCTAGAAACTACGGCTATTTATAATTCTTGATGTATTCACATTTTTTGCCTCCCTACCTCCAAAACACGATAATAAATCACTGTCCATCAATTCAGAAGTTATTTTTGGGTTTGTGTGATGTTTAGTCTTATCATCCTTAATTAAGAGCTCGTCCTGTGCCAGGTAGAGACAAGGCTCATTAAATGCAAGCCGCAGCATCTTGAGAGCGTTTGTCTCTTGCAGAGCCCTCGCCTCGCCACCAGCGGAAAGGCTCCTGGCAATTCTGGATATAAACCCCACAACTATCGGCACACAAAAGCTATGGAGAAAGTGTCTGCCGTGCAAACAGGGTAAAGCGACACTGAGAACGAGCCCGGGAAACAGATTCCTAAGACGGAGAGATGAGGAAGGCACGGCTCTTGCCCTGGTTGAGTGCTGCCATGTGCTGGGGCAAATCAGGTCTTTTGATATCGAGTTAATCAAATGCTGGGTGTTATCACAGCCCACGTACCTTCCTACTTGCATCACTGCCCCACCCGCACTGTGAAAGACGGCAGATACCCACGTCACTCTCCAGCTTCCAGTCCGCTGTGAATCCCAAGTGATCCTCTGCGTGTGGCCACAGAGCGGCCTTGCACACAGAGAACATGCCACGGACAAGGGAAGGACCCTCGGTCTTAGGGACTCCTTCCCATCCAGGCATCAGGATGCCTCAGGGATTCCCAAACCCAACCAACCACCCTAGGAAACACAGCCTCTTCTGGGAAAAGGACTGCAGCGAGCCAAGCCGAACATCAGCTAGAAATTTAGGGTGGGAAATCGAGCACAAAGCAGTACACAGCTCAAAACAAAGAGGGGAATTTGGGTCAGCAGAAATTACCATAATAGCTTGATTGCTGCGCAGTCGCAAGCCTGAGGATGCTCCTGCAGAGAAGAGCACTAGCAACGAGACGCTTCCAGCTCAGCTCTCACCAGAGGAAAGGGCTCTCTAGCTGGGCACCAGATCCTGGACGGATCTAGGGAGAAGAGAGTCCTTAACTGATCTGCTCACACCAACACACCTCCCGAAAAACTCGGCACCAGCTTCAGCCTTCAGCATTGCGAGAGCCGAGAGAAAACACTGCTGAAGGGAAGGGATGGCCGTCCCCGCAGCCAGGGATCCCTGCCCACATCCAAGTGGAAGGACACCACCTCCTGCTCCTCCCTCTTTATTCCCACCCCACACAGCCTCTGCTCACTGTTTTTCCCCTGAAGGACCTGAACGACAGGTTAAGGAATAAAACTCTGGCTCTGCTGGAGGACATCTAACCCCACAGAGGCACATGGCTTCCTTCTCGGACACGGACGCTAACAAGCCACTGGGGATTTCTGTGGTGGAAGAACTGAATTGCCCAGAAACACCCAAGTGGCACTGAATGGCATCATAAATCTAACAGCCCGACCCCGACAGTGACCCCAGTTGTCACACGATTTCCTCTGTCACATTTTCTCTTCATAACCCACAGGGAAACCACAGACCACACTGACAACCTACCAATCTGTCGATTAGGGGCCAGATGAGGAAATGCTGAGCACAGCACGGGCTGCTCGCGGAACACACGCGGGAAGCTTCGCACCAGGCCTCGCTCAACGACAGCTCCCGAGCACGTTTCCAGACCTGCGCACTACGGCCTCGGTAAGACGGTACATCCTGAAACCGAGACCTCAGCGGCTTGAAGTTCCTCAGCCTTTAACCTTGTCAGCTCTTAGGGGAAATCTTGGGTGCAGCCCTGGGAAAGCCAAACCCTTCGGGCTGGTCTCAGGTTATCTTGTACTTGAAACGGCCAGAGAACAGCACAGCAACGCTGCCGCCTTCTGCTCCTCTCTCCCAGCACCCAGCTGACCTGGACATGCTACGCACCCTGCATGTATGACCCAGGACATGAGCCTGGGACACGCCACATGCCCTATATGAGCCAGGACATGAACGTGCCCGTGCTATCCCCCCTGTATGAGCCAGGGCACGAGCCTGGACACACCACAGAGCCGGACAAGCTATATGCCCTGCAGGTATGACCCAGGACATGCGCCTGGACGTGCCACACGCCCTACATGAGCCAGCAGACGACCCTGAGCACGCGACTCCCCCTACACAAGCCCATACGTCCTGCCCTCCCGCGGGACGGGGCGCTTCCAGCTGCGGCTCCCGGGGGGAGCGG